ATATTGAGACTAGAATTATAACTCCGCAGTCCAGAGATTCTTGCATGGAGAAAAAATACCGAACAACAATGCCGGACATTAATCTTATATTATGTGTTTTTTGCTTTTGTTTTAACAAGGGCTTCGTTCAACACTGAGCTATTATTGACTACCCTAATATAAGTTCGAGTATTTGTACAAGTATCGGGTTAAGTAAATTGTTTTGATGTGCTATCCCACAGAGGGCACCTAAATTCATTTGTGTGTATGTATGTGGACACATGTCATTGCATAATTAGCACTGTGCGTTGTTTAGCATTCTGGATCTCCATAAATTGCTTGAATTGCTTTGTAAGTTGAATAATTGACAGAGTCTCCCAAAATTGTGTTTGCAACTTAAAACGATTATAAGAAAGTAATCAAATATTAAAACTATTAATGGTTTTGAAAAAAAAAACTTTTGGGCATTCATTCGTTCGTTCTTTTTTTTAACTCAGTGAAAGTTGTTAGTTTCTTATCTAACAGTGGAATTCTTTTTCATTTAATCAGAAACATTGTCGAACTGGTTATTTATTTCAAGCATTTGTCGTAGATATAGTTATAGGGTCTCTCGATTTGTCATTGTCACTCCCTGAATGTTTTGGGAGGGGACGGCGTATCAAAGCAAAGTTAATAAAGCGCAAGTTAATACTTCTGGCAGGCAAGGCGGATGTGGGTCCGTGAGTGGATGAATGTATTAGGATGTTTGTATTTTGAATCGATTTAATTGATATCCCGAATTATGGACCAAGGAAATGACATTGTTGCAGAGTTAGCCGCTAATTACAATATTTTCTAATTGACCCAATTTCTGGCAATGAACGGACCGAGGTCGGATGGGACCGTCTACACGATGATATTCTTTCACTTTTGTTATTTCGTAGGGACTTTGTTTAGAGCGAATGCGAAATCGAAGGCACCATCTACAGTTGAGATGAAAAAACTGCAACTAACTTCAGACTGCTGTATTTTTAAGCCACTCGTAGTACAGCTGTTAAAATTAGTCTATTAAAATTATTATATACAAAGCATTTTGGTGAGAATTTTCCAAAAAAAGTTATTCCTAATGGAATTCCAACGTGATAGTAAGATTTCTTATATTTTGGCTGGAAAACCACAAGTGGCTATCGTTAGAGCACTCCAGCATTAAATGTGAATAATCTTTTGTGTCTCGTACCTTAGCTCGTTACCATGATACTGTTAATGTAGCCCGACGTCAAGGAAGTAAACGGAAGAAAACAGCAACATCAGCCCGCGCCGCGTGGCCGAAAAATGGCTCGTGAGCTAAACGTATCACAATATTCCATCGTCGCGCAATGTTGAAAAATGAGCTCGGAGTAAAGCCATTGAAATTCCGAAAAGTGCAAGAACTTACACTGCAACAGAAAGAAAATAGGCTCAACAGAGCTAAAGAGTTGCTTCGCTTGGCGAAAGTGGTGAACTGCCGAATTTGGTTTTCTCCGTCCGTCACGATGAAAAACATTCGTTTTCCAGCAGTTTGTAAACTAACAAAATGACCGTATTACTTGCCAAAGTCAGCTGAAATGTGCACCTTCGGTTGGCCACCAGACTCAAGCGCCGGCCACGGTGATAGTGTGGGCCGCCATAATAGCCGAGCGGAGAGCGGCTCGTAAATCGACGACCGTGGCATCAGAATAAATGCCGAATATTATTGCGAAATATTCTGGGGTGTTTAAAGCAAACATTTTAGCCGTAGATCTTGGACATTCCAAAAGGACTCAGCTCCATCGCACTCACACGCGCCAACCAAGAATGGTTACAAATGAGGTTCCTCGCTTAATTTCAGCGCACAATAGCCACCAAAATCTTCGGATACAATCCATTGGACTATTGTGTCTGGAGTATTTTGGAAAGCAAGGTTGGCACTAAAAATACGAAAGTGTCGATCAAGTCAACCAAGCGCTTCGCCGGGAATGGGCCAAAATACCGCAGATCAACATTCGGGTAGCGTGTGACGGTTTCATTGGCCGTTTGAAGGCCATATTCGTGCTAAAGGTGACCAATTCGAACAAATCTAAACTTATTCAAAATTTGATGCTATTTCCGACATTTTTTGCTTTCACTCAAAAAAATGTAAAATTATGGTGTTTGACTTTGTTGCAGTTTTTTATCTCACCCTGTATATAACGTAATGTATTTGCAGTGAGGAAATTTAATTCATATTTCAAGTACTTTTCCGGCTGTAAAAGAAAGTTGGTGGAAATCGACGCTAGCGTACTGTTTAGTGCAATAATGTCTTAAATATACTTATATGTGAGGTACTATGTGTTTGATTGGGCCAACAAGTTTGTAACAGCTCGAAATGTTAGCTGTAGCACACCCATCACCATTTCCCTCACATTGGAGAACAAACCTCATATTTAATATTAGTAGAAATGGAATACATCTTAAGAGATTCGTTCATTCCAGCCAAAGTGTAACAAGTCGACAGAAACTACCCCAAATTATTGTGATGTAGGTACCACATAGTCCGTCTATAATAGCCATAGAGTTGACTTCCATCTGCAGAAGTCAATTCTTCTTTCGTTATTCAAAAGCAAACTAACATACAGCTAAGCCTACTCGAATGCAGGAAAGATCACCGAACTTCGGTCAGATGGCCTCAAATTTACTAGGAACATACAACTAAATACTAGCATGGTCTGACAAACTTAGGAATAAATTTTGCGACTTACGTTTCCTTCGTTGATGGCTATTTCCACGTCATTGCCATGGGTGGCCGCAAGTCGCAGCTCTAAATTACAAAAAGTGTAGAACATTTAATAAAGATGACGATGTTTACATT